GTTACAGACGCAGCATATGTTCAATTCTGGTCATTATTAAACCCAAAATGGAGAGCCCAGATTGAGACCATGTTTCCTCTGGTCCTAATAGTTAGCATGTGTGTTCGTCGGGGGCTACAGTGTGGTTTGGTTCACTGAGTGGAGTGGAGTTGTCTGAGCGCCCGCTTTAATGTTCTTTAATGTTCTTTAATGTTGGGCCACATGATGAAACGCACACTGGCGGAACACTTCACCTCAAGTGAATCTTGATTAATGACCCGACTCTGAGCACTGACTTTTTAAATATTCCCAGAGTAAATCAGAGTGGGGTTAAAACATCATTTCCTGTACATCCTTTATCTCAAATACAAAAAAAAAAAAAAAAAAAATATGGGCATGTATTTAAAAGTTATTAAACTGAATTTTTTTTGGGGGTCGTCTCATATCATGTTTCCCGGGAGTTTTATGAATAATGTCTGTTGACTCGAGTCGCGAAGGTTTGTGACTTTTAAAATATTGGTTCCCAGAAAAAAAAAGTTTGGGAAACACTGCTGCAGACCACGACTAATTCAAATCAGTTCTATAGTGTGCAAAAATACTGACCAAATACTGTAGGAATTCAATCATATTAGGCCATGTACATGTGAATTATATGTTGTTGTTGTTTTTTTTCCTGTTTTGTTTTTGTGAAAAAACAGTATGGAAGAAACCAGACATGTGAGCAGAGGTTTGTTTTTACTCTCACTGGTGTCTCATAAGGAACAGATTCATGTTGCATTGCACTTGTAATGGAATTCTGTGAACACCAGCTGGCAGGAAGTGCTGTCCAACCAAAGTTCTTAAAGAGTTACGCTGTGAAACAAGACGGCAACAAAAACCTTCTCTGTATTTTCCCTGTTTTCCCTTGTTTTGATGACCGTTAGCAATAGCGCTATGTGTTGTAAATAATGTGATTTGGCCTTTTTTTATCAGTTTTGTTGTTATTTAAATATATCAATATAAAAAATGCTCAAAACAACGAACCACATCCGACTGAAATGTTAACGTTTTTTCCTACTCCGACGTGGTTTGTTGCAGGGACTTTGTATAGAAGGTGTCACGGAGCTGTCGCAGTGGCCGTCACACCCTCCCACGTGGAGCTGGCGCTGTCGTCCCGTTCCCCTCAGACAGTACATCATTAACTGTCTCCTGAACACCTGGAGGCGAAGCCAGCGAGGTAATTGTGGCCACGTCTGCACGCAACCGCCATTAACCCATCGTACCTCATTTAGAGTCAGAGAAAAGATGGTGTTGTCGTACGGGGAGAGAAAAAGAGAGAGAGAGAGAGAGAGAGAGAGAGTCAGCCATCGACATGTCAAATACAACGATACAACAAATGTCTCTGAGCCGAGAGCTAATAGAGGCTGGAATTTGTTCTTTGTCATCAGACATCAAGGCTGGACATGTGCAAACACTGGGCGGGTGGGGGGGTGCAGGGGAGNNNNGGGGAGGGGCTCATACACACCAGCACAATAAACCTGTTGTCTGTTGTGAAATGTGCTAGAGGTGAGTATTTCTGGAACACTTCAAAATGTGTTTTGTTCTTTGTGTGTTATGAGGTCTCCTGGTGGAAAATGTTTCAACTTTTTTTAAGTTGAAAAAACTGAGTTCAATTTGACACTAATGGTAAGGTTAAAGGTCAAAAAACGAAAATAATGTCATGCATTCATCATTCATCTGCAGAGACTTTACTTTTGGTCTGCATTTTGTCTTTTTCTGAGTGGAAATGTTTCACCATGTGGTAACAGAGCCAGTTGGGGGCAGTAATGCAACTAAATAGATGTTGTTAACCGTGTTAGAAGGAGAGCAGGGTCAGATCAGATCAGCACTGCTCCAAAATACTAATGAAGTTAAAGGTTATCTAAGATTTTAGATTTACAGAGTGTGGATCGTGTTAGCTGTGAGGTGATTGGCTGAAAATCTGTTGTTTGGTCAGGTGACTGATTTAGACAGAACTTCTAACTTCAGGAGTTACAGTGAATGATAATTCTGACTTGACAAATGAATGGCCACTGCAGCGCCTCTGTGTGTGTGTGTGTGTGTGTGTGTGTCAGAGCACAGCATGTGTGGGCAGCTGCTTCAGGTTAAAGTATGACAGCAGGTCTCTCTTCGTTTCTCACCTCGACGCCTCATTTCCTTTTTTTACTTTTCATTGACGAGCCCATGCAGCTCACACTTGTCGGGAATGCCAGCGCCACCGCCTGCCAAGACGTCGGAACTTGACAAGCATCCGCCGCTGAGTGATACGTCCTGAATTGAACAGGATGATGTCGAACTTCACCACCAGCGGAATAAAATCCTTTAATTGTTGAATAACACACTTTGATACATTAGCATGGTAACAGACATTAGCATGGTAACAGACATTAGCATGGTAACAGACATTAGCATGGTAACAGACATTAGCATGGTAACAGACATTAGCATGGTAACAGACTGAACTACATTAGCGTGGTAACAGACATTAGCGTGGTAACAGACATTAGCATGGTAACAGACATTAGCATGCTAACAGACATTAGCATGGTAACAGACTGCTCTACAGGGAGACTTTCACATTAAAACTGATGTTTTTCGACTGATGTCGAGGGACAGGATTAGAGTTGTTCTCACTGCCTTTTCATTCTAATCTCTTCCACCATCAGCATGGGACATTAAACACATCATTCACACACACACACAAACACACACACAGAGAGAGAGAGAGAGAGAGAGAGAGAGAGCCAGGATGTCTTATCGGTGCATCATCATTTGTCAACTCTAATTTGTAACTTTGTTTGTTTGGTTTAGTCATATTTCCCACAGAATTAATCATCATCATCAGACTGTTGAAACCTTTGAGCAAAGATCATTAAAAAGGAGTCTTATTAACTCTCTCTCTCTTTCTCTCTCTCTCTCTCCACGCTTGAGAACCAATCAGCATTTGACATCATTTTCCAGTTCAGCGTGATGACGGTTGGTGCGTCGTTTCCACATCCTGTCTCGAATTTTTCTCACTGACATTTATTGTTAAAGATGTTTTAGTTTATTATAAAGAGTTAGTTAGGAGTTAGTTAACTGCATCAGGAGAAATACGTTACCTGCGTTTGAAAAAGGAGAGAATTAGAAAAACTGAACCTTGTTCACCAAAAAAAAAAAAAAAAAAGAAGCTAAATCTCTGTTTTATCCTCAGAGGTAATTTATCAATTATCTTTGTTTGATTCAACTGTAGTCTACAGTAACGTATCTGTTAGCTGTTAGCTGTTAGCTGTTAGCAGTTAGCTGAGACTGTGACTTCAGTCTGCAGTGACTTTAAATCATTATAAAGTGAGTGTTGTCAGATTCCAAATTGTCTTTAACGACCACACATGCATCTGTATGGCGCAATCCAAGCTTTGGTAACATGTTTCCCTCCAGAGGAACCTTTAGGTACTGCACTTCTTTAAAAAAAAGAAAAGAAAAAGAAAAACACGTTACAATACAATACATTGCATTATTGTGTACTTTATTTCAAATAATGTTACAAAAACATAATCATAAAAGCCAAATACAACGTCATGCATGTTTGTATAAACTGTACAGAACACTTTTCACATTTGACTTGACGTCAGTCAATCTGCTTCTCCAGCGTGGGCTCAGCTGTATATTATTATTCACATCAATTTCCCCAAAAAAAAAAAAAAGAAAAAAATATATTTCTGGATGTTGAGAGTAAATTACAACAACATGGAATGAGATTTTATACAGTGCTGTAAATGCAATAAATGCATAGAATGGGTGGGAAGCTGGATATTTGCTTTTTTTTTTTTTAAATCGATGCATTTGTGTGACAGCGCACCTCTGCAGCCGCCTGCAGGCGCAGCAGTGAGTAAACATTCAAAACAAACACCATCGAGGCCAGGAAACAGTTAGATCAGTATCAGCGCACAGGGAGGGGAGCAGGTTGTGGTTTAACCACTTGAAACTGACAGGCAACTGGTGGTGGAGCTCAACCTGTATTTTTTGGGCGTTCTGCGAGGTTTGCTGGGGGTGGATGGCGGCGAGGCCACGCTTAGATTTCTGACCTTGTTGAAACTGTTTCTGAAACTGTCCCGCCTGCTGACTGACGTGCTGCTGGTCTCCTTGGACGAGTACGTGTCGGGGTGACAGGGCCCCGTCCTCAGGCAGCAGCAGCACAGCAGCTCAGCGATGGCCTTTCTCATTTCACTGCTGCCCAGGGCGTAGATGATGGGGTTGAGTCCAGAGTTCAGCACCGCCAGGGAGATGAAATAGTCGGCGCTGAACAGCAGCGCACATTTGTGGGAGTCACAGAAGAAATCCACCAACAGCAGGACGAAGAGCGGCCCCCAGCAGACGATGAACACCCCGACGATGGTGATGACAGTTCTGAGCAGAGCCAATGAGCGCTTCTGACTGCGCTGGAACCCCTGAGCGCTACTGTGTACGTGACAATAGATGGCGCCGTAGAGTACGCCAATAGCCAGGAGGATGAGGAAGAAAATGAGGAGAGTGAATAAGATGTAGCTCTTGGAGTAGAGCGGCAGGAGGGTGGAGCAGTGCTCCAGGCTGCACACGCAGTTCCAACCAAACAAGGGCAGGAAGCCAATGACCAGGGGCAAAATCCAGCAGAGCACCACCAGGCCGTAAATCCTGTAATAGTTCTTCCTGGCTGACTTTTGGCTGTGGGGCTGCATCATGGCGCTGTAACGCTCGATAGCGATCAGGAGCAGACTGAATATGGACGCCGCCAGGGCCACGAACACCAGCCCTTCTCTGAAGAGCCACAGGGCAGGGCTGAGGCGGAACGTCCGGTTGCCAGACATACAGATGTTCACCAGGTACGCTGTCCCCGTGAGAAGGTCGCTGAGAGTGATGTTGGCGATGCAGACGTAGACCCAGCGCCGACTGTAGCGGATGTGGGAGATGATGGCCACCAGGACCAGAAGATTCTCCAGGATGATGAAAATGCTGAAAAAGAGGAAAAAGGCCGCGGTGACGCTGACGGGGCTGGGCTCTTTGGAGATGGTTCTGTTCTGCAGACGCCCAGTGTGGTTGTAATGGTGTAGGATCACGTAGCTGATCCCAGTGCCGTTGGTGTCCGACGTGGTGGGAGACATGGGGAAACTGGGGGAGTGGTAGACGTGGGGGCAGGAGGAGGGGGAGGTGAGCGAGGCGATGACACTCATGGCGGTTGCCTGGATCACGGTCACGATCGCAGTGGGTGAAATCGGGCTGCACAGAGCTGGTGTGAGGCTGGGTGGGAGTTAGTGTGGCACTCCTGTGACACAGCAGGCTACCGACACTCTCTGACCACTAGGGGGCTCAGTACACACCTGTCTAAACAGAGGAAGAGGAAATTGATAAACCATCGACAAAAACACCGACGAGGTGAACGTGTCAAACACCAAAACACACATCCACTTGTAGCATCTTCTTTGACCACTATGTGGCGCTATTGCGTAGCTGCTATTGCAACTAATAAATGGGCTGGGTTTTAACTTTCTTGCCAAGGCATGAACAAATTGAGCAATTACAAAAAAAACAAAAAAAAAACTGTCTCTGCGGTACGAGAACCAAATGAGAACGTGATGAGTCATGTAGAAAAGGTTTGGTAACATTTCAGGGCGAAACGGGCGTGAGAGGGAAACTCCTACTTTATATATGGTGTAAAATCATGTTTTATATTTAACAGAACTTTTCCTCAAGTAATTTATCTTTTTTATCACACATTCAGTTCAAAACTCTTCTAATAACACACAGATTTATATGATCTTCATGGTTTTATTTTAAAGGTGCAAATGTTAAAAAATCGAATGGACCCTAACCCTGCACGGTCCCTTAGCTCAGGGACCGCGCAGGATGGAAATAATGGACAATAATTTAGACAAATTGTAAAATTAAAATTAAAAATAAAAATAAAAACAAATTGTAAAATTAAAAATAAAAATAAATAAATAAAAAAAACTGGGGTCCAACAGTTGGTTCCTGTTCTTAGACAGTTTTAATAGAAGTTACAATTACGAACAACAGCATCAGTGTTTCCGCATTTTAGGTAAAGTTTTGACATTTTAATGACCTTTAATTACAATTAAGTCATCATTAAAAAAAATTTAGCAAATCAGAAGTTTGTGTTATTATCAGGTTTGGGGTTTTTGCCCCCCCCACCCACAAAAAAAGAAGTGCATTTGCATCAAGGGTTTTAAACTTTAAAAGACATCCATTTAAATCCCCTGCACTTGTGGTTAACACTCGAGCACCTGTCAAGGTAGTTTGAAAAACCACAAAAGAACGGATGGCATGAAAACAGGTCACTGATGAGTGATTTTTTTTTTTAAGTAAACGAAATGATAAGATTTGTCATTTTTTTATTTTCTTTAAACCTTTTAAATAAGAATGAAATCACAGTTTTTAAACACATCACAATCTAAAATAATTATTTATATAATGGACCCCAGAGAGTGCATCATTTGCATAAAGCAAGTTGTTGAAAAAAAAGAAAAAATTAAAATCATTATGTATTATTATATAATAATTATTTTTTTTCTGTTATTTGTAGTAATATTGTACAGACAACTGCAGGTAATTGTTAATTGAAGTTAATGAGGTCCAGTGTTGATTACTCACCACTTGCTGCCCACGCTGCTGCCGCTGCTCAGTGATGTGGGGGTGTGAGAGACTGGCTTTAGGTTTTTGATGGGGAAGTAAAACAGCAAAGGTTACTCACCACACCCTAACATATAACTTGAACACATCACACACACACATTCACATACACACACACAGAAAAAGCGAGAGAGATAGAGAGACAAAGAGAGATAGAGAGAGAGACAGAGAGAGAGAGAGACCTCCAACACTGGCATGAACAGCAGGCACAAAATTCAGATATTTTTTAAAACAAATCAAAATTCCCTGCAGCACCTCTGCAGCGTGGCCCTTTAAATTGGATTTCTTAATACGGGAAAAGCTGTCTTGTAATATAGGTTGACTCAATATCTGTTAAGGATATGTAGCAAGAATCTCACTTGCACTTACGAGGTCATGGCACACGTCCAGGACTGTACACCAAAACTGCCAAATCAGTATTTTTCCTCAGAGTTAGTGTCAGCCTGAAAGAAAAGAGAAAAAAAAAAAAAAAAAAAAAGAAGAAAATCTGCAGAGGAACTCATGTCTCTGTTGATAGACCAGGCCATGTGTGTTCATGCACAGCTGAGGCGGTGGGGTTGTTTTTTTTATACATGGCATCACGAAGACAGTAAAAAAAAAAATTTTAAAAAGCGAGCAAATTAGCATTTCTGCAGACCCTTGAACCTCGCCACAAACTGACCAAACTGAAAAAAAAAAAAACACCACATGGTTCTTTACACAAGCTCCAAAAACAAAATGGTGCCAAACCCTAAAATAAAAAAAAACCCGGCCTGATTATATATTAGGGCCTTCTGCAAAGTCGGCTGTAAATGCATGACTGGACTGTAATTATCATTCATCAGATCCTTTAAAAGCAGTCGTGTGTGAAGTCAAATCAAGCCTTGGAGGAAAATAAGACTGTCGTCGGCACAACAACAACAACCGGGGACAAACTTGGACTTGTCATGAAATGTTTATTTCTTTCTATGTCTATTTTAACATTTGTCTCTTCTCCTGTTGCGTTCCTTTAGAAATCATAAAGAGACGATGAACTGTAACACACCTGGCCCCCGACTCTGTAACAGAGCGGCACCAAAGTAGTTCATTTGTAAAGTAACTTCTCCCCTAAGTAGTATAAGTAAATAATTTTAAAATAAAATGTTGACGTGATAGAAAAACAAGTTTTAAAAAAAAGGAAGGAGAGGAAATTAAAAAAAAGATAGTTCATATAAAAACAAAATACCACAGTGAACGTAAGTTGATGTGTTAACAACACCCACAGCTGTTGAAAACGCCCTAACTAAGATATTACTACAAAGGGAACTGCAACCACTTAGTGTGAATTTTCAACCACAAGTGTGTGTGTGTCTGTGTGTGTGTGTGTGTGTGTGTATGGCATGTGTGTGCATTAATAACTAGCAGGGTGGTAACTGTTGAGTTCCTGTAAACAACTCAACGCATCTGCTGGTTCGTACCTATGATGCAGATGAACGACGGTCAGCGCCACATTAGCTGCTGGTTTAAATTAGCCTTCTTTTCCATTTATGGCAGTGCACTGGTTCTCAGACGTTTTACTTTGCATACCACCGTAGAAAGTATTTGGCTCTCCAAGAACAACAACCAGCATGACCACAAATAAAAACGACCAACTAGGCACAGTACAGGAAGAGGATGATTTAGTCCCAATAACATTCTTAGCCAAAGTTGCACTGTAATAAAAAGTTGCATTACAACTGCTTCTAAATAGAGAGAGAGAGAGAGAGAGAGTCCTGTTTTACTTGTACACTATTTTTCCAGTTGTTTAAAAAAAATTAAATACCCTTGCATACCGCCAGAGGGAGCTAAATTACCAGCAGCCAGAACATGCAGCATTGTTGAAAACCACGGACTCTATGCATGATTTCAGAACCACTAAGGTAGAGCATGCAGCATTGTTGAAAACCACGGACTAGAACCCGTGTTTGATGAGTTAAATAGTGTATAATCAAATAAATTAAAAAACAAAAAAAAGGAACAATACAAAACCAAATTGACAAAAATAAAAATACAAATACGCCATTTTAATAGATAAACGTTCTGATACATTCTCCTTTGAATTCATTTCAAATGTGTGTTTAACACAATTAAAATGGAATATTTTATTCACATATTTATCACGTACAATTCGATTACAAATATTCATAGTCTGATTGTGACTTGCACCCTCTTTATATGGCTTTTTTTTTGTTTTTTCAAATTGCATTGCATTACTGCCACCTACTGGGCACAGCTGCAAAAACGGGGGGAAAACAAAACAAAACAACAGCTTCTTTGCAGATAAACACGTCATCATACAGTTGGAAAAAAAACCTGAAACCCACTGTATTTATTTTTATGTCATAAAGGTTAGCATTAAGGTGAAAATGCAGACAGAACAGCTTCTTTGCAGATAAATACGTCATCATACGGTTTATGTCATAAAGGTTAGCATTAAGGTTGGTCTCCTTAAATATATTCCATATATTTATATAATGTGACTACACTATTTACATTTTTATAAACTGAATTACCGAGTATTTTTCAAATAGTTGATGAATTTTATTTAGTGGTAAAATCAAGTTCAAAAGCTGCAGACTGTTTGTACTCTTTGAGGAATCATCACAATTATATTCAATTTATTGATTAAAATGGCTTAAAGGGAAAATAATATAGTGAAACCGCCAAAGCAGAAGTATTTGATAATATACTATAGTTTCAGGGTGTAGCTTCTTCTACTTTGGATAAAATAACCTGCTCTGTAAATGACGTGTTTTGTTGCCTGTAATCAGTGGACTTTGGTTGATGACTGACAATAGAAGAAAAAAAAATTATTGCCTAACAATCCTGACCCTCTAAATAAGCCAAACCGTGTTTCAAAAGGATTTTATTAAGTTATGTGTTATATTTATTTCTATTATCTCGTCGTAACTTAGCTTAGCCTTTTAAGGTTAAAAAGAGCCTATTTTCTACATTAATTTCGGGTTAAAAAGAGCCTATTTTCTACATTAGCCCTTTGTGTTCATGTGCAGACTCTGTGGTACCAGCAGAGGGCGCTGTCCGCCAACAACCCTGTTCAAATCAACAGGGCGCTACGGTTGCACTGAATCTGGCTTGTCTTTTTTTTCCCCCTCAACTTTTTTTTCCTCCACGGTTCACTCTGCTGCTGCTGGTGTTATTAGGCTCAGATAAAGGAAGTAACCACTGGCTAGCTTGTTAGCCGGTATGAAAGCAGCACGTTCTGTCAGGCAACTGAGGACTTTTGAGACAAATCTTCAGTTATTTTAAATCCTGGTAAATACAACTACAGACTACGCTTGTCTGGCGGTTCGTTTTATATTTATTTTTTTCTCCCCCTCTCGTCTTTGTTCAAAACCGTCAAACTAAGGCAACTCCAAGAAGCTTTGTGTTTTGAGGGAAACCACTGCGCTTGTTGGTCGTTTTTTTTATATACCAGTCCAACTCGGTTTAATGAAAAGAGAAGAATAAATCACAAAAACGAAGTGAAAAGCTGCGAGTAGATTCGGATTTGCCTTTTCTCGTCCGGGTTGAATCGCGGGGAGGTGGGGGTGAAAACGTAGAGAAGGATTACAGCGAGACAATGAAAGGACCAGCCTGGAAAGGTACGTTAACTGCCATGTATTCCTGTCTCTCTGTCTGTCCCTAAATAATAGGTGTATACAGGGAATACTTTGTAGTGTTGTCTTTCCTTGTGTGTGTGTGTGTGTGTTTTGTAACGCATTTGGACTGCAGTGACACCGCCGTGGCAGGAAGTAACTCGGAAGAAAGCTCGTATCCCGAGTGAACTCTCTTCCACGGCCGTAGGAAAACATATGTCGCCTGTTTGGTCAGAGACTGAAGCAGACACTGACGCCGTGTATTTCACTGCAGTGTCTCCCAAAAACCATATGGTGTAGTGAGAATTACCGAGATATTTTACTGTTGTTATGTATCAACGGGATTCATTAATGCATCAGATCTAATGGAAACGTCCTATAATGTGGTCTGTGACTCTTGATAATGATAATTAAAATCAGTTAACAGTCAATTTCCTACGGTAAATATCAGCTTAATGTTGCCAGACGTCAGCCTGCAACAACAGACTGCCAACAGACGGCTCTGTCCAGTTCTTATATACAGTCTTATGTGAACTCTCACTTAGAAATTGTCATAATGTCATGAATAAATGTTACAAAGAATGTCCTGAATAACGTGTGCAACAAACAGTCAGTAAAAACGTTTGCTATAAACATTTATATATTTGTGCATGTCATGCACAAATATACATTTTTTTGCATGAAAATGCTGGAAATTGCTTCTTTTTAAAGGATGTATCAGTATATGACAATGACTCCTTAGGAACGGTTGTCTATCATGGCCTGGTTGCTGGTCATAATGTTGGTGAAGGTCAACAACTGGCATGCTCCTAAAAGACGATTACAAAAAATGTCAGGTTTAATCAGTACAGTTCAAACAAACTGGTTAATCCAGAGGCAGTAACAATGTGACATTGATTTTTTTATTATTGGTGAAAAAAAAAAAGCTCCGGAAAAGAGGATTAGAGCATGCAGAGATTATTGAAAAAAAAAACCATATGGTGTAGCATGTAGGATATCCCAGAGCCACGGCCAACATATATAGAAACATTTGTGACTGTATCCCAGTCATTATTTCACAGTCTCCTTCCTTAAGCACAGCCACCAAAGCTGAACATTTCACACATTAGCTGTCCGACCAGGTTCCTGCTTGATGACTAATGTCTACATGATGGAAAAACACAATCACACACACACAGAGAGAGAGAGAAGCATTCAAGTAACATACAAATGTGCTTCATTTGAAAGTCCCTCTCCCTCTTTTTCCATCGTCTTTGATTTACTTTGGTAAGAATACAACTGTACTCCTCCAGGAGTCTGAATAGTTGTGTGGTGCCTGGGTGATATATTTCCACTGTCTCCTGTCATACTGGTTCCACATGGCTCTGTCAACCACATGCTGTAATCCAGCCATTCAGAGACAGGAATTTCACTGCCAGGGTGTAGAATGGGGGAATTATCATTACTGCCTACTGTATGGTTTGATTGTGTACAGCAAATACTGTATACTGTACTGTTGCTATGCAGTGATGGTAAATGAAGAAGGGCTGGGTGGAGCATT